CATCAAGTATGAGTTCAAATCCTGTTAAAGGGTCAAACACAGAACATCTAATATGAAGGCTACCTACCCCTGAAGACTCCTAATAAGGATGACGCCAGTTGTGTAGTGTCTCCCATTGGTCAGTAGCCAGTACAACAACTGTAGCATCTGTTAAACTATATAAAAGCTGTTTTAAGGGGGAAGTCTTGAGGCTTCTAGTATTAGGTCTAGACACGCATCAGGCCCAGTAGGTCTACAGTCTGAGAGTGCATTAAGAAGAAGAAAAAAAAAACATTGTAGTGCTCTGGTAACAGTTGAACTAGTCCAGAACAGATACTTGTTCCATTTTTCTTGAGAAGAAAAGCAATTAATCAAATGCAAGCTATCAAGGAGACAGCCAAACCCAACCCACTGCAGCCTGGGGATTAAGCAGTGAGCAGAGGCACTTTCCTGTTTCGTTTGCAAAGGGAAGGAGGAAAGCACAACTCCGTACCCTTCCATGCAACCAGACCATTCAGAGAAATGATTTTCATTATGATGGCAGCAAGGGAGAAGAGAATTATATTCCAATTCATATGAGTCTCCCAGTTATCACTCTTTACAATAGTTAAGAACATGCACTTCCTTGGTACATTAGATGCAGAGTGACTTTCTTGGTGGCTCTTTACCACGTTCATGGCAGCCCTGAGATCTGAACTGAGCACTGCTTTTTGAACTCAGGTGCTGCAGAAAGAACTAGAGGCTATAGGCAGGACAAGAGATCAAGACCACCTTTCTGTAGGCCCACATTCAGGGCAATCAGCAGCACACCTTTGCAGTAACATTCTTACACCCAGGTCATGCTCATCTCAAACAACTGTGAATGATGTATTGCTTTCCTGAGCTGGGTAACCAAAATCTCAGACTGAATAATGCAAAAATTCCATAGGAACTGGCTGACAGGTTTTTCAAAATAGGTATCACATGGAGTTCTGGCAAACTGACAGACACAAAGCTGAAGCCTGAAGCATTATGAGCTGAAAGAAGTGTAGTTGTATGTTGTGGGTATGTGTATACATGCGCATGCAGGCACACACACAGATATGCTGTTGCAGAAAAAAAAAGTTACTTCAACTATTATCAGAGCACTACAATGTTTTTCTTCTTCTTCTTAATCCACTCTCAGGCTACAGAGCTACTGGGCCTGACAAAATTGTCAGAATATATAGAAAGACTGAACAAGAAGAAAAATGAGATGGGATGTAGCAGAATTGCTATCAAATTGCTTTACTTATGAACCCAAAAGATAACCTTATGTACCAAGTTCAGCTTTGATTTTGCTCGGTTTCTCATTTCTCCATCCTGATATATACCTCAACTCTCATCAGTTTCTGATAGTTTCTCTCTTTTCAAATGTATTTGTTAGATTTATTATCCTAGTTTTCCTCCAGAAGCACAAGGCAATATGCGTATCATTGTCTTCTTCAACCTCTCCCACTCCCAACCACATTCCTGGGAGGAGGCTGGGCCAAGAGACAGGGACTGGCTTAAAACCACCCAGTGAGCTTCTGTGGCTGAGGGACGATTTGAACTTGGGTCTCCCTGGTCCTCAGACACTACATCTGGGGAGAGTCACAGATATAACCTTGGAGAAACTGGTGATGGTTACCAAAGCATATTTTAAGCCCATATTTTAAGAAAACATTAGAAAGAAACTCAAATTGGATCTGCCTTAACTCCCTGGGACATAAGAAGGGAAAGGAAAACACAGTCAGGCTTTCTAGATTCTGTTGCTAGAGCCTATCTCAATAAAGCAGAGCTCCAGTCTTTCCTGAGGAGTCTGTTTCCTGACCTGGACTACTTCAAAGGTGTGACACCACCAGATTTTTATATGCACTTTTATAAAACATACTCATTTTTACATATGCTTTTCCTCAATATACACAGTTTATCAGTTTTCCTTAATATGTTAGATATTTGTACATCTTTATCCAATACAAGTTTTTAAGCACACATTTTCCTCATATTCAAAATAGCATTTTAATTTCCCATTTGAGTTACAAGCCACATCAGTACCATTTAAAAAACTTGTTGGCACATAGGTTTTGGGAGTTGGAATTATGTCAGTTGGATTACAATGCAAGTTAAAAAGTTCTGACCTTTCTAAAGTTAAACCAGTGGTTTGTTAAGCACAATATTAACTGGGTTTACATAACAACTAAACCACATTATGGTTTGGCTGTCTCCACTAAATCCAAACTATGACTCAAAATCTAGCTTTGATGGAGTACTTTGACTGCATTCTGTAATCAAAGCTTGTTATAGGCTAGTTATCCTACCCATAGTCTGATGAAGCCTCCTAATTCAGTGATTAATATTCTAGCTAACTGTTAAGCACCTGTTACTACCCCAGGAACACTACGTGGGGTGAAGGAGAGGCCATACAGCAGAATTCTTCCTTACTTAAGACAATGGTTTTTGCTGGTGCTGTTATTCCACTATCCATAATAAACAGGAAGTGTCAAGTGATGCAAAAACTGGTAGACTATATGGCCTTGACAACAGAGTTGTTGCTGAGGTGATTAACTTGATCTTTTATGAGACTTTCATCAGATTACTTCCATCATTGATCACTTACAATACTAAGATAGCATGTTATGCAAAAATTGTCAGGATCAACTCAGACAGAATCTTTTTCATTCCCACTGTCGGGGCATTTCAGGCAGTTGCACAAGGGATTCACTCTGAGTCCTTCTACATGCAATACCTGGACCCATCTTCTAAACATTGCCCCGCTTCAATCTTCTGCTCAAGCAAAATCAATTTAAATCAGCTGCAGCTATTAAAATAAGCTTTTATTCCAGCCAGCAGATGGCAATTGATTGTGTACGCAATCAGGCCTGGCAGCTATCCAACCGTTGAAGAATAGACGCTGCTAGCAGAAGGACAGATCAGCAGGCCTGCTTGACAGCCCAGAAGTAGGTGGTATTTGGATCTAAAGCATTTTTGCTCCAGATCTGAATACTGCACACCTCTATGAGAAACTGTTTGATGAATAAAAGAAGAGAGTTGGAAGAGGCCATGGAGGCCATCCCACACCAGTCCTCACTCAGTACAAAAATCCAAATTCAAGAATCTCAGATAGATGGGAGACAGACCTCTGATTGAATGCATCTATTACTTCTCACGGTAGTTCCATCCTCAAATTCCTCTTATTGTTAGGAAATTTCTTCTAACATTAAATCAGAATCTGCTTTCTCTTCTCCCTGAAGTGGTTCCATTCGATTTGGACCTTAGAAGACCCATGTGCACCCTGAGTACTCTTCTTACTTCCTCATCCTTTTTTTCCTTTAGTGTTGTGGCTTTGGGATAGTAGGACTAGGGGCAGAAACTATTTTTCTTGCGGTTATTGTTCTTTTTACTCATCATAAGCTAGCTGTTCTGATAGCCCCTTAGGCTGAAAAATGAAGTAAAATTTTACAGACAAGTACTAAACATATAACTACTATAAAAATGATAAAGTATTCATTTATCTCCCTTCTATCAGAATGATGATCCAAAATAGTTTCTAAATGCACTGAAGGAACCTCTTATCCCACCCAACCTGCACAGCTACAAGACACAGTTAACTGAATGGCATTGCAGCAAAGCAAGAACTCCAGCTGCTCTGCAACCTTGGGAAACATTTTCCCCCCGCCTGCACCTCTGCATCAGGTGGAAGGCACATTCCCTGTGCTTTACCCACCCACCCGAAACACTGCCTGCCTGTTTGCCTACCACACCCCTGGTCTCCCAGTTCAAGTTTCACACTCAGTCAGCAGGCTGTAGAACTCCTAAAAGTGCTTCCAATCAGCAGTTAGTAAGGACAAAGCAAAGGAAAGCAGGCAGGATTTACAGCACATTGAGAATGGTTTGTAAATCAAACAGATTATGATCTCACAAGGCTTCATATGAAATCAGTAAGTCTATGTGCCTACATCCAGCATTTGTCCCTAAGGCCTACAGTCTTGGGAAGTTGCCATAAACCAACTATAAGGAGCAAGATGAGTACTAAAATTCATAAAACCAACAGTAGCGAACAGGTCTAAGTGCAGTTACAGACTGTGAGTCCATGTGTACTGTACTAAGTGGAACTATGATTTTACGCAAGCAATCCAAAAAGAAAAAGGAAGAATACGAAATATAATGACAAATACCTAAAAATGGGATTTCAATGCACTCAAGGTTGACTCATCCATTTTTCTATTAAAAATATTTTTACTAGAAAGTTTGTGCTTATGAGTTTTATTATGGCATGGGATGCATCGTATAATTCAAATGGTAAATTTTGGACTAATGCTTTTGATATAGATTTTAGTTTAAAAAGAAAGGCATATACAAATACAACTATTGTATAATTATGTTATTCATCAAAAAAGTGAACTCCCATGCTCTTAAAGACAAAAATGTAGAGACAGTGTTGTTTAATTGGGTAGTCACTACATTTTCTGAATGTTTATTTAGTGGTCCATGCTTCTTGAAAATCGAGAAATAATAATCCAGAGTCTTAACTCTCATTAAGATCCAAGGGTTATGCCGAAAAAAATAAATGGAAACAAGCTGAAATTGTTAACAGTGTGTTGACAACATCTGATCTCCCTCAACTTTTTTTTAATATGAATACAGTGGACTGCAACTAGAAAGCCATGTTTCAGAAAAAAGTCACATCCAATTCAGCCACAATGGGGAGACAAAGTAGAACAGACATGATTAAACAGAAATGGGAAGAACATGGGATTTGCTCTCTGTTTAGCCAGAATTCTAGCCTAATACATCTCCAGAAATGTGGCACAGAATATAAAACACTAGAACTGTACCAAGGAGAGGTGCATTTAATTCCCCTTGAAGGATCCTTGAAGCTTCAATGTCTGACCTTTGTTCAAAGACTGGCTCTCACCCAGGGTTACTGCTCAACAGATAAACTAAGGAAAAGAGGGAACTGCTTTGAGTTCTTTGGAATAAAAAAACAAATCCAGTACCATTAAAAAACAGAGGGGAGCTTACCTGGTTCTAGTTTGATAATTTTAACTGCAGCCAACTCGCCACTGTGCACATTTCTGGCCTAGAGAAACAAATATGACAATTAGATGTAAGCAAACTATAGATACAGGTTTTTCTAGCGCAAACCATGTTACATAGAAAGCAAACAGAACTCTTCCATACTGATGCAGCTGTACTGAAATATTTGGCAGTCAAATCATAGTTACCCACAACAGGTACTCACAATATTGATCTAGATCATATGTAACCTGGCTTGTTTGCTGTGCAAATCCACTCACTATATGGCTGAGTGTTATGGGTGAACCAGACCATTATGGCTTGTTCAGCAAAACATAATTTAAAAATCCTAGCTTAGTATTGTAGGAATCAAGTCTGTGCTTTCTATATTTGATGGCGTTTGCAGCAGCTGCAATACATTAGATTTTTGCCACATGGACCTTTTGTAAACCATAGAAATCTGCATATTCCTGACAGATCTGTTTACTCATTTATAAGATTTATAAATCATTTCACTCCACAGGACTAGATACTGTATATATAGTATGTCAATATCCCTAATATAAGATGCAGAAAATGAGACACAAGGCTGCCATATTTCTGTAATCAATATTAACATTTCCTTCCCCTAAAAGATTTTACTGCTTTTCCATCAATACTCAAATCAATGTTTTAGTTTTGCACAAGATTTGGATGTTTTATCTTTCTCGTGACAGGTTTCTGTTTTGTTCCTGGATTTTTAGTTCAGTCTGACCCTCTGTTAGTTATTATTTATGGATATGTTTGTTTGCTGCTCCAACATTTCTATCTTTAACAGGATCATTATTCTTGTATTGCTCATCAGTTACTTCTTTAAACAGATGTTAGCTGTTTTGGAATTTTTTGCAAACAAGTAAAACAAGAATGTGCGACTACAGTGCCCCTTTTGTGTAGATTTGCATTTACTTGTTCTGGCAAATATTAAAAACTACTGTTACAGAACTACCTGTTTACAAAGGGTGCAGCAATTCATACTGCATTTATATCATGAACAATGCTGGAGAGGTGCAGTTGCAATTGGAGCCATCTTTTAATTGTGGTTGCAAAATGGAGGGCGAACCACAAGTTTATGCACTCCCTTTCCCCAGACTCTGCTGTCTTGAGTAAATTTCCCCTTCACTGAAGTTAAATATTGCATTAGTGACTGTGGTTAAGGCTCAGAATGATTTCATACATCTCGCTAAAGTTTAAGAGAGTTTGGTTTTGGCTTATGAACTAAAGTATTTTCGTTTACAAACAAAGGGTTAGGCTTTAATGTGCTGAGCAAATCCAGCCAGTTGAAGCATCCTTTTTAAAAAAACCATGGTTAACTAGGCATTTCTTACATTCAAACCATGGTTGGTTAGGACTAATAGTTCGTAATACTGAGATTTTAGTGAAATCAAAGAAGATAAAAGAAGAAAATCTCTAGCAGTGCTGTATATTTTATGTGCATGACTGTCACCACCTCTTATATGGATCACATCCAGATAAGACCACTAAATGCTTATGTGTGTGCCCAATTTGGAAATAATTTTAAATGTTCCAATTTAGTTCACCACTCATTCTGACTGAATTCACATTCACAGTACTCCACAGTTTGCTTCACCATGGTTCACTGAAAAGTACCAAGGAGTAGATTCAACTACACCAAAAAATAAATCATGGTTTACAAACCAAAATGGTTAGGTAACATGGTAAGCCAAAACATTATTTGCCAGAGTAATATCCTGCCCTTCTTCTGGGAAAACAAAGGAGTTTACAGAGGATCTCCCTTCAATTTTTTTTCTACAGCCACCCAGAGGAATAGGCTGGGATGAGAAACTGACTGGCCCCATGTCACCTAATGAGTCTCCATGGTTAGGATAAACCTGGGCATGAATCACTCTAGCCCAGCACCTTCGTGATTAACACAAACAAATCACCTTACGGCTTAGCCATAAGACAACAAGTGAGCCAGGCCCTAAAATAACAGGCAGCAATCTCTGCAGGTGTAGTTCTCACAAAGGGCATACGGGTTGACACTCAGAGCAATAACTGATCCACAAAATCATATCTGGGTGAATTCTTTTAACTGTGCAAGTTTTAGAAGATCAAGAGCCAATGCAGGTGCCTTTGTAAGTGTGCAATCACACTCCTACATTCCACGTTGTACTGTAAATTTTCCCAATAAGTGCTTACAGCCTTGGTAGTTTATCCCCATTCTCAATGCGACTACTGAAAGATGAAGGCACCTCCTTCACCTTCCTGCGCTTATCTTTCTTCTGCCTTATCCTAATCTTCTGGGTCACACAAGCCCCTGTGCTGCACTTCCTCCCTGACAGCTTAACGGGGTAAAAGGACTAGGAGGGTCACCCTAAATCCAGGAAGACAGCTGCTTCCTTCTCTGGCTGCAGGAAGACATCTGTGCCAAAGGAGGGTACATTCAGTCCTTCTGCACGTGATAAAACAGAATTTTTAAAAATAAAAACGTGATCCAAAAAACCTCCACCAACCCTTAAAAAGGATTGTGAGGAAGTTGCTCCACAGCTATGGATATTTGGAGAACTGGAGGCTTTGGATGGTAGCTTAAAACACTAGATTTCAAATAAACTGGTTCCTCCTACGATCCATTTCTCCATTGATTTGCAGCAAACATAAAACCCCCAGAACTGCATGTGGAAGGTTTTGAGGAAACTGAAGTAATGATTCCAGCAGGCAGGAGACAACCCAAGTTATCCCCCGAAATACAGGTTACTTGTTGCCTTTTTACTCACAGCCCATGAGGGTATCAGCAGAGTTAAGACTCGTAAGCTTACATTTGAACTCTAGCTGGATGATTTACTTTAACCCTGGTAACAACAGCATTTCAACAGGGAAAACTCCACTCTCCATTTTTTCATGTAACCTGCAAGCCAGAAAACTGAATGCATCAGGTAGCTATTCTGGCCTTGCAAGTACTCAACCACTTCCTCCTCCCTCTGAACTCCAAGGCAGGAAGCTGAAACAGGTTGGTCAAGGCCTTTAGCAGCCATTAAGCAAGGTTGCTGGTCTTAGTAAGCTAAAAGTTATGCAGGGGAATTGTGGGGAAACTATAGCAGCCATATCAAGCAGGAAGTTGACAATTCAGTCTGCCACTCTCCTCCATTACTAGAAGTGTGCAAGCACTTCCATGCAGATCCAGACACATGCACACATAATCATCAGACAACTGAATGAATTAAACACAATTGGCACCAAGAACAATAATGACTTTGCTACCCATAAGGAATACTGAACTCTAAAACACTAAATCTTACTTTGCTTGATCCTCTTCTGTGGTTTCTGAGTTCTCAGATTCATGTTTCCAAAATTCATCTTCATAGCCATATCAATTTTTTAAATAGAAAAGCATATTCAAAACAAACAACAAACCCGAATTGTATGCCATAGGCTTCTATAACCAGATGGTGTCCAAAACAGTTGGACTATAATTCCTATCATCCCAACCAGCAAGGCCAAGGGACAATTCCAAATTCTGCCCCTGGGTTTTATAATCAGGGGAATACAATATTCACTTACTGCATGTGTGTGCTAAACATAAAGTCTGCTCTGAATTCAGCTTGACTCCTGGTGAAATATCCATGCAGTTGTCTTAGTAACAGTAGGAAAATGGTTTGTACTCCCTTCTTCTATGATGTTTTTCAACCTCTTAGTCCAGCCTGCAGCCCTGATATTCCCTAGGAGTCTCTCATCCAAATACTAACCAGGCCTGAACCTGATTAACTTCTGAGACTAGAGGAGGTTAGCCAAGTGCTGCCACTACTCTTAGAGGTTAAAACATCTAACTAAGAAATTAAAAAATGACTATGAAATACACAACACCATAAATACAAAAGTAAATCTCAGCAAGTCCAGAATTAAAATACAGATTTTGAAAATGGTATGATTTACTTAAAAATTGAACTGGAAGTTTATAGGGATGGAAACAAGTGAACCTCTCTGACTGAAGCAGCCTTCTTGAACTTAATGCTCTCTTTTGTGTTAATTAAAATTCCACCATTCCAACCAGATAGTCTTTAGCTATGCTGAGAAAAATTATGGAAGTTGAAATCCAGCATCTAGAACCAGATAGTCTTTAGCTATGTTGAGAAAGATTATGGAAGTTGAAATCTAGAGAGTCTCAAATGGTTGAAAGTAAACTGCTATTTGAAGATGTTGATAACATATTGGGAAACACGGTCTTTCAAGTATCTTGTTCCCACTACTAAAACTAGCACTTTAAATGGTACCCAGAAATGGACTGAGACACAAAGAAGATGTCGAAGCACCCATGTAATATACTGTACTAAGAATGTCTGTATTTGGAATTAATAACAATTTTGACCACTTTTTACAGTGAACCCTTTCACTGCAATAATCTAATAAATGCAAACTTCCTAACCTGAAATGCATGGCTATGGAAGCAATAACTTCTGTTTCCAAGACCTGGCTCTGCCATCTGGCCTGGGGTGGGGAGGGAGGTCATCAGATATGGGGTTGGC